CTTTAGTCCATGGGGTCACAAAGAGTCAGACTTAGTGAGTAAAACAGTAACAATAAGCCAAAACATAAATCTAATATAAAAACTGTGCTATTATTGTTGAATATGACACAGACTAGTATAAGGAGTGATTTATTGTATAGAATCAATCACAATCCAGGAGATGTTATATATATAGTATCCCCTTAGAAAAGATATGTATTGGGACTAGTACTGTCTATCCATGTCCTGTTCCCAATACTGACATCGTGAAAATATACAAAAACTATGAACAGTGAATTTTAATAAGTCTAGATCACATATTATAATTTTAAAACAGTGTAAATATAGTGGCCAGCAGTCAGTTACACTGATATTCAGCTTGGAAAGAATGGTAGAACTATATACTGTTGTTATTAACAGTGCTAGCACCCACAGTGCTAGACATGATGTTTGTATTTAGGAGGATTATATTTAAGTGTATGGATAATTTTTCATTCCAATGGAGCATGAGTAAAGTGCTACGCTCCATTTTAATCAAATGGGACTGCGTACTGAGAATTAAGTACACAGGGAACTATATTCAACATCCTGTGATTAAACCATAATAGAAAAGAATACTAAAAAGAATGCATGTACAACTGAACCACTTTGCTCTACAGCAGAAGTTAACACAACACTGTAAATCAACTATAATAAAAGTAAAATTAAAAAAGAAATATATTACTTAAGGATTAGAATAAGATACTATCTTTTACTGATTGTACAGCCTCTTGAAGAGTGGAGGATGATTAAACAGGTCTTCTGAATACAGTCTACTTAGTTCTTTTGATATTAATTCCTCATAGCTTCACTGTCATGTGCAAAGACACTTTCTTCAGTTCTCCTGGTGATTTTTAAACTATTCTTATTTCTTAGATGGTTTCCCGGAAACTAAACTTCAAAACAGTGGCATGTAAAAGAAAGTTAATAAATTAATTTATTCTGTTAAATAGTACTAAGTTGATAGGATCTCTCCTTCTGTAGGATTGCCAAATCAAATTTTAAACAAGGAAGAAGGCCACAAAATCAAGCAAATCAAATTCGTCACATACTATATGTACGTAACTGAACAAAAATCACTAGCCCAGAAACAAGTAACTTTAAGATATCTTGAAAAAACAGATCTAAAAATATTAGGATATATGCCATTTCCCTAAATTACATGACCATAACCATTGCCCGTGGATCTATGGGTGGGAGACTTGCTTCTCCTACTCGAAATGGAAACCATTTCAATGGCTTCTTTCTCAGAATTATTATAATGTTTAAAAATTACAAACAGTAATATTCTATATTGGGGTGGTAGATTCAATGTTGGGGTTTACATAATGAAGCTAATACTTAGAATGTTCAATGATAAATACACATAATTTATAATAGTTAAACAACAAGTAGGTGCTATTATCATTACTTTTATCTAAAAGAAAACTATTCAGAGATTTGGAGAATAGTTATCTGGCATATATCCAGGGACAAAGAAGAAAAAAAAAAAATGGTAAGTATACAAAAATAGTAGTTACAAAAACCAGTCGACAATCTTATTTTATTTTGCTTATACTAATGACCCTTTCCTCCTCACTCAAGTCAGCCCTATTGAGATTGATAATCTGTGGCCAAGTTTTCACATGTGTAAACTGATAATAATAATAAGTTCCTTGAAGAATTATCATGAAATCAAAGGAATGTGGCAAACGAGAAGGTGTCAATAAATGGTAACCACCATAATTGTTGTGCTTGATTTTCAAAACAGTATGTTGCAAGGAAATGCAGTAAAATAATGAAGAAAAAATACACAGCATAGTTGGGACTATAAACTTCAGAGCCAGATTATGGGTTTTGATCCCAGCTCCACTTACTGGCTGTGGACTCTGGGCAAACTGCTCTCAAAGGTATGTAAGAGGCGCTGGGAGTTATCACTGATGCGTGAACCCATGTTTAACCCTCACTTTCTCAGGATACCGTTTCTGTAAATCCTCAGTTAGGCTTTCTTATCATCTTACTACACTCTGTACTTTGCCTTCCTAAGCCTTGTCACAGTTTTAAATACACAGCTATTTCCTATTAATATCTATCTCCATTATACTGTGAGTTCTAAGAAGGTAGGAAGCATATTCAGCTAATTAGGGACTACCACAGTGACTAACACATCTCAGAGCCTCAGTAAATATTTCTGAATGAATGAACGAGTAAACAGAACATAGTCTCTCACTAAACGTCTCAGTACTTCTTGTGTAAAATGATAACGCCTGGATGTGCTGTCCAAGAGAGAAATGAGAATATGGAATTGGAAGGCAGAGTACATTTGAGATTAGTTAGCTGTTGCACTATTTCTGAAAAGACCAAAAAAAAAAAAAAAAAGAGAGAGAGAGATTAGCTTTAAAATCAGACTGACTACTGAACTGATCAACTGAAAGAAGTGAAAATGTAGTCGCTCAGTCGTATCTGACTCTCTGTGATCTCAAGGACTGTAGCCCGCCGGGCTTCTCTGTCCATGGAATTCTCCAGGCAATAATACAGGAGTGGGTAGCCATTCCCTTCTCTGGGAGATCTTTCCAACCCAGGGACTGATTACTTTAGTTAAACCACACTGGCTGGTAGACCACTGCTCTCTTTGAAACTCATCTGTTGTGATGGGTTTTCTTTATAAATTAGTATGGTGCCACACTTATGGCTATAATAACTTGGTCCTGAGTAAGCTTATGAGAGTATGTTATCCCACATGAAATTTATGTGTCCTGCGGAGGTGTCTCAAGAGAAAAAAACTGCAGAGAAGCACCACTCCAGGCCAGTGATTTCTAACTTTTATAACTCTTCAGGGCATATTGAAAAACCCTCAACAATCTCAGCACTTTTAAGGGCGGTAGGAGTATAGCAGAATCAAAGAAGAAAGTTAGGATTTCTTCTCTTGGCAGTAAAATGACTATAACCCAGTGGAAAGACCTCTAATTTATGGGGAGTGCCTCCTCTCTGGTTACTTGCAGAGAACTATATGTTTCATTTTAAAAATGTTGGCTTCTTTATGGAACATTTTGTCTTGGCAACTCAAGAAACCATATAGGACAGAAATCTGTTCCAATTTCCCATGTGTAGATGTAGGAATTTTCTTTGGGATTAGTCTGTAAGAGTCAAGGTTAAGTCAACGTATTTAAAATGTCTAAAAAATTTCATTTACATAAGTTTATTTTTTTGTCTCAAAAAGGCTTTTAGGATGATATTTTGTAAATCCAATAATTCTAGCTACTACTTAAGAAAAAATGATGATGCTTACCTGAAGCAAAGTCAAGACTGAAGACTTGGTGTAAAAATTCAAATTGAGAAATGAGTTTATAACAATGTGTCTTATTTAAATATGTATCTTGACCGAGTTTGAGTGCTAGTTTCAACACTTACTAGGTATGTGATTGTGGCCAAGTGTATGCAAATAATAAACTCGTATAGCTTGGTTTGGGTGAACAGGTTGTGTGGTTGACTGTCTGGGTTTATATGCTGACTACCACCTACTATTAGGGTGACCTTGGGCAAGCTTCTGAATCTCTCTGCCTAGGTTTCCTCATTTGTTAACTGTGGATAATAAAAGCACTGTCTCATAAGACTGCTGTGGGCCTAAAAGAATAAGTGAATGTCAGGTTTCTAGAATAGTGCCTGGCTAATAACAAATACTGAAAGTTTTAGCTACAATTATGATCATTCCTTTACCCAATTTGATTTTCTAATTTCTTGACTTGTTTATATCTCCTGAAATGCTAATAATTTAATAACAGAAAACAAGTAAAACATAAATGTACAAGAACAGTAAAAGATTAGTATGAAAATTAAATATACAGGGAAGTAGTACCCTACCATTAAACCTGTATTAATCTAATGAACACTGATACTGCAACAATAAGCTAGAAGAAACCTAGACAGCAATAACTAGCAGGTTATTCTGAAGAACATTTATGTATTTTTAATCAGCCATTTTCCACCTCCTGTCCTCCACTGGGAGAAATAGGGAAAAAAATTATTTCTACCTCTTCTCAGAGCAGGTAATTTCTTTCAAATCAGGGTTCACTACAGATTTCCAAATAAGAAGTCATTGACTGTCACAGAATAAAAGCAAAGTAAATCCTAAAATAAAGGTAATATGACAATGATAACAAATCTACCCTGGTATATGTGCAAAGATGAACAGTTTACAACTAGCTTATCAATAAATTGATAAATGGCATTGCAAATGTTGGGACACTATTATTTAGCAGCCAATTCTTACTTTGATTTACAAATTATGTTTCTAGTATTAGTTGTTAATATAGGAAAGTTTTTCACAAAGAAAACGTGTGTGGTGTTATTGAAAACTTTATGAAGGACTTCAAGTCACTTGGTGAAAAGTTTAAAAGTGAGTCCCCCTCATCTGTTTTTCTCATTAGCTTAATTAAAAGGACATCACTCAAACATCAGAGATTGACAACCAATGGTCAGATTCATAGCATTGTGCCTGCCAAGAAGTTCCACGTGCCCACAGCACAAAGCAGCCTTTTGTACTGTCAACCTTTGACCTGTCCATTGTATTACCCTCTCTCCTCATTCGGATCCTGTTTCAAAGCTCTGCTACTGCTTTCCCCTTTACTTTTTGATTATTTCTGTCCCCGAAATCAAATGCTAATACCAAGACGGCGGGAGGAAACGGAAACAAGACCAAGTGGGGTGCACCCAATAGGGTCACCCTGCCACCCACCCCATCCTCATCCAACTCTCAAGCACTGTTGAAGTCAACTCCATTAGGAAAACCGCTTCCCAAGTCAGCGCCTGTGGAGCTCTCCAAACCGCCAATCAACAGAACTCCTCGGCCGGCCGGCGCCCTGGGGGTCTCTGGCCCCAGTCACAGACCCTAGAGGAGAGGGTAGGAACACTGCTACCTGGAGTTCTCCAGCCCTGCCAGTCCTCCAACCATCGACTTCCCGAGACGGGAGATGTGCAGGCTGAACCCCCAACTACAGCCTCACCTTCTTCCTCCAGGGGGTTCATGCAGGGGAAGTAGCCGGCCAGCGCCTCGAAGGAGGCGGAGAGGCTGCTCCGGCTCTGCGAGCGCTGCATGGAGCGCCCCGCGGCGCCGGCGCCCCCCAAGCCCTGCCGGCCCATCTTGGACGAAGACCCGCTCTTCCCGCGGTACAAGATACGAGGCGTCTTGGCGGTTGGGGCGCGGAGACCGCAGCGCTTCGAGGGCCGCGATGGTGCCGCGGGACCCCGGGGAACTGGCCCCTGCCTCCCTGAGCCGGTCCGGACCAGACGTGGCTTTCTTGGCTGCCGGGGGTCTCCACTTTTTGTGGGGGCGGGGGGAGGCGGGTAAAAGGAGGGGGTCCAGGCGGTGGCGAGCGGGAACGCGGTTGCTCGCTGGGAAAGTCCGAGGTCTCGCCGGGAGGGAGCTGAGGTTCCCGGAGGCTGTGGCTGCGACTCAGTCTTGGCGCCCTCCCCTCTCCGGGAGATGCTGCTGATGCTGAGGTCCCCGCCAATCAGCAGCCGGAGGGGGAGGCGGCGGCGGCGGCGGCACCTCGGAGGGCTGGCGGCTTGGCGCGCCCCTCGCGTTCGGGACAACTGCGACCCCCACGAGCTCCAGCTGTTTCCGCTTCTCTCCCCCCCCCCCCNCTAACCATGTCACAGCTTGATTGCTGTCTGTGTGTTTCAGGGGATTTCAAAAGTGATTGTAAAATGTAAATTATGCAATCTAAAATGGTTCTTTCATACCATAAGTATTTCCTGATTACTACATATGTACAAGTTCTTTGCTTGATATACTGGGAAATACAAACACTCATTCAATTAATAGTAATTGAGCTCCTAGTATATGTCAGGTACCTTTGTAAATACTTAGGGCATATAGTGATCCAAGCAGATAGAAATCCTTGCTCTCATAGAGCTTATAATTGAGTAGGGGGGGAAAGACACAAAAATCAGTAAATTATATAGTGTTTAAGGGGGGATAAGTGAAAATGGCAAAAAAATAAGGGGTATAGGACAGTCTGCAATTCAAAAAATAACTGTCAGGGTGGATATCATTGACAAAGTGACATCTGAATAGAGGTATAAAGAAGCTGAGAAAGTAAGCCATTTGGATATGTGAGGGAGAGGGTTAATTTGAGGCAAAGAGAGCCTCCAGGACAAGCACCCTAAGATATGATGTCCTCATGTGTCCATAGAATAGCAAAGAGGCGAGGGTGGCTGGAGTGAAGTTAGCAGGAGGGAATGGAGGTCAGAGAGATGAGACAGAGAAAGGACAGATTACACAGGGGTATGGGAACAACTTTGGCTATAGCACATCACAATTTAGAGAGTACAAAACAATGGACTCATATAATAACCCTCTCAAATCTTTCTAAAAATTAGGAAGCTTCCAGGACAACTAAGAGTGCTATCACATAATAACAACCTTTTGTTGCTTAGACTTAGGATCAGGCTTCCCTGGTGGCTCAGACAGTAACGAATCTGCCTGCAATGCGGGAGACCTGTGTTCGATCCCTGGGTTGGGAAGATCCCCTGGAGGAGGGCATGGCAACCCACTCCAGCATTCTTGCCTGGAGAATCCCCGTGGACAGAGGAACCTGGCCCATGGGGTCGCAGAGTCAGACACAACTGAGCGACTAAGCACAGCACACAGACAGGATTAGCCAGGTTTCTTGCTTCTGTTTTTCTGACAGACTTTTTTTGTCCTTCCTGCTACTCTCTTAGTTCAATTTCCTATTCATTATTCACCTTCCTAAAATACCAGCGTTTCAACAGAACACTGATAAAACTAGGAACTCTATGAGTATTTTCTCACACCATATTGCTTTTATTCAGAGATAGAAATGTTTTTAATAAATGAAATTTTCATTAGAAGAATAAAGAGAGTCATAGCATTTTGGAAACTGAAAGGACTATTGAAAGTCATCTAATATATTTTTTAAGACCGTGGGTCACAAATTTTTGGTGAATCACAAAAATAACTTATTATTAGAATGAGCCACATTCTAAAAAATAAAATCAGAGTGCAGTGACTAATACAATGTAGTTATTGTAACAACGGCAGTATTAGGTCATGAATATGTGTGCATTTTTGTGTGTTTGTGTGTTTACATGTGTGTACTAAGTTGTGATCAAGAGAAAAGTTTCAAGGAAGAGGTACTAAGTAGGAAAATCCTAGGAAAATAAATTGGCCAAGGGTGGAAAAGCTTTATTTTGATATCCAAGACATCAAAATGAGAGTTGAAAGTCATTTAGGAAGGGGGTTATCTTGGGTTCCTACCAGTGACACCATGGTGATAGGAAATCTAAGACCTGGATCAGTGGTCATACCCGAGTTGCTTGGGTCCTGCCTTCTCTACGTTAATAACCTGGCTTTATGCTCCAAGATGCTGAAGCTGAAGCTCCAATACTTAGGCCACCTGATGCAAAGAGCTGACTCATTGGAAAAGACCATAATGCTAGGAAAGATAGAAGGTAGGAGGAGAAGGGGACCACAGAGGAAGAGATGGCTGGATGGTATCACCAACTCAATGGACATGAGTTTGAGCAAACTCTGGAAGATAGTGAAGGACAGGAAAGCCTGGTGTAACAGTCCATGGGGTTGCAAAGAGTCAGACAGGACTGAGTGACTGAACAATGAATGTGCCAAGAAGAGTTTAGTCTGGAATAGCCCAGATGCATCTGTTTCTTCAAGAGCATCACTTCTCTCTTGAAGAGTCAGAACAAAGTTGTCCTGGGAAGCTTTTTGATCATTTTCCCTATAGTTGGGATTAGAGAGCTATAAATAAGTGATAGAAAATGGCACAAGGAGAAACAGGAAGTAGAAAGAAGAAAACCACCTTATTTCAGGGAAGCAAGCATCAAGGAGAAAGAAGATCATTGGCACACAAGTATCAGAGAGACAAGCAATAATCGCCAGGGACCTCTAGTCTTGAATGATAACATGTGGAATACATGGAACTTACTGAGAAAATGTATAATTCCTCTGTTTTGGTCCTACACTTAAATGTTTTTGTATATAATAAATATTATATAAATAATATTTCTGGTTTATATGTTTTTAAAAGTTGATTTATTATTCCTTATCCCATTCTGATAATATGTACTACCAACCCCAAAGGAATTTTAAATTTACATAAAAAATAAACTACTGATGAAAGATTGGAAATATCATTTCCTCCATACCAGAAAGGACATTCAAATGACTTTGGATGTAGTTTTCAAATGATGGGCTACTACATTGTTTCATTATGTAAAACTAAACCTAATTTCAGAATCATTATAATCTAGTATTCAAATTATTTATACTCTACGTATAACTTTCTTACTCAGAGAAACTCTCTTAATCAGAGAAAAAGTGAGTCACAAATTTATATACTAATCACTTTCTAAAAGCAAATTCTGGCCTTGAAAACAATACCACCATTATATATGAAAATTATATTTCTAAAGAAAAGATATATAGATTGATATAGCTTGCATGTAATATCATGGCATTCTATTTGATGAATATGAAACATCACACCAATTATGCCACTTAATTCTTACATTAATCCTGAGTGTCATCATTATTTCTTCTTTATAGATGAGTTAATGCTCAATAATATTGAGGTTCAATGCCCTGTATACTACATCACAGGTGTCTTACATATACTTAAACACAGATGAAACATACAAAACAGAGATGATAGGTACAATACGAACTATGTAGTAAATTATTTGGTTCAAAATAAATAGTGAAAAAATATATTTAAAGTTATAATGTTTCTTCTAACTATATACTAATATTAAAACCACATTTGCCCTTTTAATCAAAACATATTACTATTACATAGCCATATAAACCCTGAATATTCATTGAAAGAACAGTTGCTGAAACTGGAGCACCAATACTTTGGTCATCTGATGCAAAGAGTCAACTCAAAGGAAAAGATGCCGATGCTCGTAAAGACTGAAGGCAAAAAAGAGGGCAGCAGAGAATGAGATGGTTGTATAGTATCACCAACTCAATGGACATGAATTTGAGCAAACTCCAGGAGATAGTGGAGGACAGAGGACCCTGGTGTGCTACATTGCACGGGGTTGCAAAGAGTTGGACACCACTTAGCTACGAAGACAACGACGACAACAACAACAACAACATATGTATTTCCACTCAATTCTAATGGGACCAGAAAGTTACATGTCATTTATTTTATATATTTATTATTATATTGATTGCCGGGAGAAATATCAATAACCTCAGATATGCAGATGACACCACCCTTATGGCAGAAAGTGAAGAGGAACTAAAAAGCNGTCGCAAATAGTTGGACACAACTGAGTGACTGAACTGAACTGAACATTTTTATATGTATCATTTTTTATAATAGTTTCTCCAAAAAAAATCACCAAAATTTTAAAGAGTGTTAAATTAGCTTACTACTGAAATAGAAGCTTGGTCACTGAAGTGAATGCATAAAGAGGTTATTATGTGAAGTAGTTACATAGTGTCTAGACCATGGATTAGTTCAACTGGGAACATAGTTGTGCAGTTGGCAGACTTGCTCTTTTCTACACTATAAATGATGTAGGCAATGATGATGAGAATGCAAACTACTAATAAAGGACAGGAAAGAAGAAGTAAGTCATTCTGGAAAGTAGGGGAAAAACAAGTACTAAGGCCCAGAAGTGCACATGCTAAAAAGACATCTAAATAGAACTCTTATTGCTACTCCATCACTATTTGGTGTATTCAGTCATCCCAGAAACGGCTGGTTGTTAAAAGAGATAGGAATTGCTCAGGATAGGTATAAAGCCACATTGCAGACTGAACTAACCTTTTTCTTCTTGCTATACCTTTGCTCTTGATAATATAGGAATTCATCTCTACCTCAGTCTTCACAATAGATTTCAATTACCTTTGCCACTTTGGACCATTCCTCTCTATTACAGCAAATAATCCTATACTAAATAGGAATATTTGTGGATATATTTTGGTTTGTTTTATTAAAAACCAACTCTCAAAATATTTGCAAACAATGTGACTGACAAGGGATTAATCTCCAAAATATACAAACAGCTCATGCAGCTCCAATATCAAGAAAACAAACAATCCAATCAAAAATTAGGCAGAAGATCTAAATAGACATTTCTCCAAAGAAGACATACAGATGGTCAAAAAGCACATGAAAAGATGTTCAAAGTCACTCAGTGTTAGAGAAGTGCAAATCAAAACTACAATGAGGTATCACCTCATACGGGTCAGGATGCTGCTGCTATTTCAGTTGTGCCCGACTCTGTGTGACCCTATGGACAGCAGCCCACCAGGCCCCTCTGTCCACAGGATTCTCTAGGCAAGAATACTGGAGTGGGTTGCCATTTCCTTCTCCAACCAGTCAGAATGGCCATCATCAAAAAGTCTACAAACAACAAATGCTGGAGAGGGTGTGGAGAAAAGGGAACCCAACAACACTATTGATGAGAATGCCAATCAGTGCAGCCACTATGGAGAATAGTATAGAGTTCCTTAAAAA